CAATTTTTTTTTCAGTGTTGCTGCATTTTGCCTTTATAGTGGGCTTCTGTATTCAATTATCACTGGAAACTAGATAAAATGAAAGTTTGTTAAGACCAACTTTGACTATTGGCTTTACTAAGCATTGCCTGAGACTTTAAATTGATTTTAAAAAGCTTTGAAGTTTGAAGACAGTGATATATTATATACTAAGAAACTATGTATCTCTTATGATGTGTGTGATCATTAAGTATGGTGCGCTTCTACAATAAGTTTTTGTCAGTTTTGATGGGTTTGAGAGAGTTGAACAGAGAGTTTCAGCAATGTGTATTTGTGTCCTTCAGCATGGAGGAGTGTGAGGCCCTTTGCACCCGTCTGGCTATAATGGTGAAAGGACAGTTCAAATGTCTCGGCTCCCTACAGCACATCAAGAACAGGTCAGTGGCTTATCTTTCTGTACCCTGTGTTTCCTCCTACCAATTATTTTCCTTGGTTCTCTCACGTCTCCTTTTGTTTTCCACACTTATTGTTGCTCTGGAGCCTGATATCTCCTGCAGACACTTCATAATTTTGTCCCTGGTGATAAAATAATCTCTGTTCATCTGACAGGTTTGGCAAAGGATTCACAGTAAAGATGTACTTAGCTGGAGCCTCCTGTGATGTAGATATGATCAGTAACTTCATGCAGCAGAATTTCCCCAGCACGTTCCTGAAGGTGAGAAACCGAGCACATCATAATGAAGTTAAAGTTATTGAAAAGTTGAAGCTGAAGTTATTTAAAAGTACAGTATATTGACTTGACAGCAATACGCCGTATCTCATTTCAAATGTGTTTACATAAGTCTTGAAGGCACAGCTGCAAAATAAAACAGCAGGGGTCATGGGTCAGAGAGAGTGTGGAAATGGTCATAAAAATCTATGATGTGACCCCATTAAAGTGTATTTTTGTTGTCTACTCTAAATTAATATTGTCCATCATCTTTCTGTCCATGAAGGATCATCACTCAAATATGGTGGAGTACCATGTGCCTGTTGCTCCCGGTGGTGTGGCTTCAATCTTTGGTCTGTTAGAATCCAACAAAGCTGTACTGCAAATCAAACACTTCTCAGTCTGCCAGACCACTCTGGATGAGGTAACATACATAAGATGATTGTGGTCATTATTTATTTACCCTCATGCTGTTGTTCTGTGAAACACAAAGGTAGATCTTTTTTGTCTGAAGAATTTTCACACAGCTCTTTTCAATACAACTGCAGTTCGTAGTGATTTGTCAAGCTATAAGAGACCTATAAAAGTAGTCCTTACACTATATCGTATACCTTTTGAAGTCAGTGTGTGAGGAAAAGACCAAAATACACTGAAATGTGAATAAATAATGACAAAATATTACTTTGTCTATTAACTAATAGTGAATAAAGGAATTCAAGAGTAAACAAGTGAGTAGTTCTTGAATGTTTAGTGAAGGAAGTGGAGAGAAATGAAAAGAGAAACAGAGGTGGTGGTGTGGAGACTAAACGATTGTCTTGACTTGTCTCCTTAGGTTTTCATTAACTTTGCCATGGGGAAGACGGACACAGACGAACAGGAAGTCACTGAAGGAACGGACATTGACAGTCTAGACTCGTACAATGCTTTGGACCAATGAAATACTTGCACATTATACCATTCAATGAACCTCAAAAAAAAGATATTAATTTAATATGTAAGAAATCTTTTATAGGCTATATCATATTTTAGTGTTGTGATTTTAAACTATTTTGCATTGAATGATGAAGTGGCCAAATATATTATGGATAGTTATTGAGGATTTATATGAAAATTATGTGTTAATTTACTCTTTCTGTTCTTCCACACTTGGGTTCAAATATTGATCAACATTCCATGACCTTTTTATGGAATTTGGCTGCTATTTGTATCACTTTAAAAGGGTTAATATGCAAGTTCAAGTGGAAAGTCTGCATTAGTTTACATAGTTTGATGCAATTCATTAGTCTTTCATTTGTCATCAAACAAGTCCACTGCTGCTTTCAAAGAAAATGAAGTCATTTATTTACTAAATTGTTTGAAATTTTATTAGCTCTACCATATATATATATATATATATATATATATATATATATATATTAATCAAAATATAAATAATTTACATAAACAACCAACAATGTGTTACTCAACACAGAATTAAATATGTGTACAGAGTGAAACATAAATAATATACATAAACAACCAACAATGTGTTCCTCAAAACAGAGTTGAATATGTATGCAGAGTGAAGAGTCCATCCTCTTAAATTGCTGGCTGCATCAAAGCAGCTCTTTTCTGGGGTTGATATAAATCACAAAGACCTTTTTGGCTTCAAGGTATAAATGATTCTTCAATGTCTGCACATCTTCACTCTCATTAATATTTTCTCTGAAGGCACATCTCTTGTGCAAGAATGTACTAAATATTTCATCGGCCCTTTCCTCTGTCTGCTTCAAGGCACAGTTCCTCTTTTAAAAATGTACCAAGCTTATTTTTACATTAAAGCTATTTTTCACATGCAGTTGTTGGGCGTTTGTCTTATTGAATGTAGTGCAATTGGTTCTTTATGTCATGAGTTGAGGTATGCAATTTCTTTGCATAGAAAATTGAGCGCTGTGGAAATGATGAACTATCCAATGTCCAGACTGCATTTCAAGCATGTTCTGTCTTTTCCCTTTACATATGTAGGGGCACACAGGCAAAGTGGGACACTTTCTGATAATTTTTCATTGGTGTCATTTTAAAATATACCATATTGTTAACCCCTCACACAACAGCATTTTAAAAGGCTAAATATCTCCACTACATTTTACAGATGGATTTTTAAAGCAAATTTACATAAAACATCGTCCGGACTGAAACAGATATAGGGTTAGGAACTGTACTTGAGTTAGTAAATTAAAATGGAAATTATTAAATTCACTATTCACTATTGTACATTTAAGAAAATCAGTAAATCACAAACTACCCATGGTAGTTAACTCAATAATTTAAAATGATCAAGAAAACATGTTTTGATAAAATATTTTGATTTTATTTGTAAATAAATTTTCCATTTTTATTAATTTTAGGAGCACTAATAGTAAAAATTATGCAATTTTGTATTAACTCATACATTCACTTCATTGCAATATTGTGATTAAAAAAAAAAACAAAGGGCGAATTCCAAACGGAAGTGAGCATCCCTATGCCCTACTCCCTTCGAAGGGCAGAGCCCTTGAAGTGTGTTCTTTGAAAAAGAATGGAAGGCCCGCACTACTGCACTTCATAATGAAAGCCCCAGTTGACCAATCAGAGCGAAAGTTCGCTAAGCTCCTCCCCTTCGCTTCCCGCGCTGTTGGAGTGACTTACTTTCAAAACAGGTCTGTAAGAAATACCGTGATCGCTGTCTTGCTTTGTTATTATGCATCAAGAAAGATAATTCGGTCATACAGTCAAACCCTGTGACATGATCCAGGACTGTATTTAAATGGCAGCTGTGCGTTAAGTTTCACAATGAAAGCAGCTCAGACGTCTGAACACGCCAAAAACTTAATTGATCATTGAAGCTGCCAGATGAGCATCGGTGAGGAGTCTGTTTCTCAAGCTAGAGACTCTGAAGTTCTTGCCTTCTGCAGTGTTGTGCATCTGGGCTGTCCACTTCACTCTTTGTCCTGGTTAGTTTAGGCTACAGTTTGCTTTCTTCTTTCAAGGCAGTGATACATGCGATAGCCTTTATCTCTCAAATAAGCAATAGACTTATGAACTTCTAGAGAAAGCTGTTTCTTTACAGCCCTTTTTGAAGCCAAAATTTGACTTTCTACACTTCATTGAGTAGCACAACCTTTTTAAACTGCACTAAGATAATAAGAAAGGATTCTTTAGCAATAAATTAACACATTACAGTGCTAAAGAGTGAATTAATGCAGTGTTGTCTTAGACTGCACTATTGGCTGCTCAAAATGGGTCTTTTCTATTTATTTATTTATTTATTTAGTCATTTATTAGACGATGGCCAAGCAAGCGCAAACACTGACAAGATACGCGATACAGAACCAGACCAAACGCGATATCAGCACGTCTCCACACAGTACACAGTATTTTCTACACAAATAAAGATTGAATTACAAAGCTACTGTTTCAAATGGTAATATTTTGCAACTTTATTATAGTTTCACTGTATTTTTGATGATTTAAAAGGTACCTTGGTTAACAGAAGTATCACTTTCAAAAATCATATAGTATTGTCTTATATATCACACATACACACACTCACACATATGTGTGTGTGTGTAATGTATATATAATATGTGTGTATGTATGTATGTATGTGATAAATATGGTTTATATAATAAATGTATGCACCACGAATGCCCCCTTTGGCGCCGAGTCAACCCTGATCATAACTTTAAGACATGTATATTATAATTACGTCCCTTTATGTAATGTACTGAACACTATGTACTTCTTCAAATGATGTTCTCTTTTTTCCAATACACAAATCCCCAACTGAACTTTGAGACTGATAATGACTATAATTATGCAATGTAATTTTCTATAGTAGCTTTAGCAGTTTTCTCCGAGCTCGGGGTGCTGTTGCCGATGGCAGAGAGTTGTGCTGTCTGACAGACAGGTCTGTGCCCCAGGGGTAAGGGTGTTTAACGCTGCACAGGAGATTGAGTTGGTGGAGAGGTCATGCTGGTTCACTCATTCTGGTGCTGCTGTAGCATCAAAGACAACAGCTAGGCAGGAGAAGCGAATAAAACCACCGAATAAATGTGCTCATTGCACCTCGCATTTTATTCTATTTATTTATTTTTAAAGCAATGACAAATAAGGATGTCTGAGATGATGAAAGGGAGAAATCTTTTTAAAAAAAGCTCAAAATGAACCAGCCAAACTACTTGAGAATATGTGTTTTCGGTGGTTCCATACATTTTTGAAAAACATAATTTTCATCAAACATTTCATAAAAAATATCAGATATTATCTTTATATTGAACTCACATGTACACAAAACATTTTTCAGGGTTATGTAATATAAAATAATAATAGTAATGAATTCAATAATGTCAAATGGAATAACTAAAAGAAAACAATATTCATAATTTATTTTTAAAACAAATTTAAAAATGTCTATAGTTTTTATTATTCCAGTTAAAATGTATTTAAAGTATTTTTTTAGTTTAGTTAACTATAATAACTATAACTAGAATAGTATTATACAGTTTATATTTTAAATAGACTATATAAATATATAATAGTCCACTTAAATTAAATGTTAAAATAATTATGTTTTATTTATTAATTTATTTTGAGCACTGTAACACCGCCTAATTGTTTGACTTTAAATTAATTTTGGTATTTTTTTAAATATATATATATATACATACTTTCTGAATTACCATCCAAGTTTCTTATTGAAGAGGTGTTTTTAAGTTATTGTGTCCTTTATTTAATACTTGAATGTGCACAACTTTGTAAGATGACTTTTTTATTATTATTATTTACTGGTGCAATGTGATTCTCTTTGTGATTCCCTTAGCCATGGCCACCGATACCATACAGTCGGATGAGAGGTATATCCCTAAGAATAAGTAGAACATCAAAATATGGTTTAGCCCAAAGAGTCGTAAAGTACGCTGTTGCATTGAGAAACCTGTTGACTCAAACACATCAAATGAAGTCGAGGGAAAGAAAGCCAATCCATCACCTTCTTCCAAAGACCTTTCCGTCTTTAACTTCACCTCTTCCTCCCAGGAGTCTGGGTCATCCTCCCCTCCACGGGGGAAGGCAAATAAGAAAATAAAGAAAAAAAGGATCAGCCAAACCTGCAAACAAACCGGTGGTGGTCAAAGGCCCAAAACATGGACTCAGACTATGCAAGAATGTAAGAGGCTGAAGCTAGAGGCTATCAATCAGCAGTGGGCCTTTGGAAAAGAAGGTGCTATAGACAAGAAGGATGAAGAGGACGAGAAAGTGAGCTCTGGAGATGACAACAGGAGGTCCAGTAAGAGAATTTCTTTCCATTTCCCTCACAGCCAACCTGTGGAGACTCATAAGGCTGTCCATCAAGGACAGAATCAAATTCCCAGTCCCCAAAAAAGCATCCTAAGCGATTTGGAAGTTGAAGACACTAAGAAGCAAAACTCTGCAACTTTGAGTTCACCATGTTATGATGCACAGGTTGAGCCTGTCACTGATATCCCACACGAATCCAATGAAAACACTCCAGGGCCTCCTCAGCCTTCTCTTCCCAGAGTGCGTAAGAGAACCAGAGAGGATCCGGACAGTGATGATCCACAGAGAACGCTAAAACAACCCAGAACAACTTCAGGATGGAAGAAGAGATCATCTAGAGAAGAAACTGCTTCAACTGAAGACCACTCTCAGAGTCTGAGAACATCCAGACAGTCCAGTGAGAAGCAGAATGTGAACCCAATCACACCAGCTACCCCTGACCTTGGGAAGAAGTCTTCAGTGTGAGACACAAACAGGCAAATCCCTCTTACATGAAGAGGAACCACAACGGAGAGACGCCACTGCACTTAGCTGCCATAAAGGTTTGTGTTCACTTATATCCGCATGTTGGCAAAATTACATAAATTTGTGCTAAAATAGAGATTCAAAGTGAAATAAATTTGTGCTAAAATATAGTTTCAAGACAGCCTTTACATCAAGACATGGACAATTTTTGTTCTTCCTTTTAAAAGTTGATAAGTACAGTAGGAATTCACTACTGGTACCATGTTAGTTTTTTTTAAGTGGTA